AAGACGGCAGCATCCAAGAGGTGAACGTGAGCCCCTGCCCCACGCAGCCCTGCCAGCTCCACAAGGGGACATCCTACAGCATCAACGTCACCTTCGCCAGCAGTAAGCATCACTTCCCCAGCTGGGGTGCAGGGGGGAGGTGATCACTTCTCTGTCGTGCTGCTTGGAGGGGAGTGGGGAAAGGTGGCTGGAGAGAGGTCTGTGTGGGAAGAAGCGTCCAGGGAGGAAGAATGTCACTTAATTGTGTTCTCGCGGCCTCTAGGTTATGTCAAGGGCAGGGGGGGAGCGTAAGGTAGAAATGTGTTCTCTGCTCCGGTGCCGTGCTCACACTTCTCCATGTTCTGCAGAGATCGAGAGTCAGGGCAGCAAAGCGAGGGTATACGGGGAGATGCTGCACGTGGACATACCCTTTCCCATTCCTGAGCCTGATGGATGCAAGTCTGGGATCCAGTGCCCCATTCAGAAGGGCCATTCCTACAGCTACCTGAATAAACTCCCTGTGAAGAGCGAGTACCCCAGTGTAAGTGAGCGGGCAGCTGGTCTGCTCCTCAGAGCTACCGTCCTTCCTGGGACAGTCCTGCCATCTGCCTTTAAGGAAGGACACCTTGTCCTGTGGTGGTGGGGAAGAGGTTAGAAGAGTCCTCAGACTATCTGGTGGCACTTCTGCTGTGAGTATGACTCTGTCTCAAGTTCCCACTTTGGGACAGACCCAGGAGAGGAAGCAGCCTGGCTCCAGCTGCTGAGAAGTGGCTTCAGGTGCCCAACTGTCTGCCTGTTCTGTACTGCGCTTGCATGTAGCCTCCCTGCAGAGCCCGCTGCATTCAGCCAAATGCTCCCAAACTGGGGGTGCTCAGCTCCAGGGTGCAGTTCGGCTGGGAGGCCGCAGGGTGTTTCCACTCTCTGCTTACTCGGAGAGTGGGGATCCAAGTGCAGCGTGTGGAGGTCTCCTGTGTCACGCAGCAGAACCATCTATCCATGTAAGATACTCCAGGAGCCACAGCATGAGCATGGCCCACCTACTGCAGCAGGGGCAATGCCCCAGCTCAGTCCTTTTTGCGCAGAGCCGCCGGGACCTCCTTGCTCCACACAAGTAACAACTCCCCACTGTGTCCTTGCCTTGCGGTTTCCTGAATACTCTCATTTCTCTCTGCTCTTCTCGCTTTCAGATTAAACTGATTGTGAAGTGGGAGCTGGTGGATGACCAGGACCAGATGTTGTTCTGCTGGAAGATACCAGTTCAGATCACCAGCTGAGGAGCCCTGCCATCAGGGCTTGGGGAGGGGAAAAACAGAAGACAACACAGGCCAAATTCTTTTATATAATAAGCATTTCTTACTGCTTCCTTCAGAGCTCTGCAGCCTCTGAGCAGCCAGTACTGTGTTCCTGCAAGGTCAGCTGTGGGCAGAGGGCTCTTACCCCATTTAGAGCCCCCTGGGGTGTTCTCACAGCAGCTCAAGGGGGAGCAGTGTCTGCTGCAGGAGTGACTGAGCATCATCCTCTGGCTGCTCTGTGGAGATGCTTTAGTTGTTTGAAATGGAGCTGTCTGTCCTCACAAAGGAATTTCTCTACAAATGAACCTGGCTAGTGTCTGAGCTGCTACCTGGTAACCTTTCAGTGCCTCTTCTAGAATGCTGGCAGCATCCACCCTCCTGCACTTCTCCTGCTCCGTCGCAACCGGGATGCCCTTGGGACCCGCGTTTGCCATCCATGCAGCGGAAGGAGAGGAGGCTTTCCCTGAGCTGGCGGCCTGCTCTGTCCTGGGCCCCTGCTCAAGCTGACAGGACTGCAGCTGGGAAAACTTCCTTTTTGTGGATGCAAAGCCAAATGGCATTCGGCGTCTCTGCAGGGATGATTCTTTCTCTAACCAGTGGTTTGCACTACTACTAACTTGGAGCTGCTGGGAGCTCCTGAACCTCTTTTTATAACTTTCCTTTTAATAAAGGCTAGACAAAATCTGTTTGTGTCTTCTGTGAGTGAAAAGGAGCAGGAGGAAAAGCAGAGTGGCTGGGCATCTTCTAGTTGGGGTTGGGCTGGTCTTATTTCTCAGCTGAAGGCATGGATGGAGGTTGATATGCTGGCCTGAGTGTGGGTGACCTGTGAGCAGCTGGGCATCGCTGCTGCTTGCTGCCAGGGTGTCCAGCTAGCAAAGTCTGGCTGTGCTCCTGCTTTGCTGGTCCTGTGCTGGCCCAAAATTGCGTAGAGGCTCCTTGAGGAGGCGGTGGTGTAGAACATGGCCTTGCTTGCTGCAGCGTAGGTAAAGGCTTTTCTAGTGAGGGCCCTGGGGCTTGAAAAGCAGCTCCCAGACCTGCCCAAGGGCTCTTGCCAGCTGCAGAAACCTTCACGCTTAAACCGCAGTCCCCTTGTGTGTGAACGAGGGGGGGTGTGAGCGGCCACAACCTCTGTGCTGTCTGGGTGCTGGAGTTGGCTCCTGCAGCTGGCGCTGGGCTGGGGAGATAAGCAAGTATTTGGCCTGGCAAGGGTCTCTGCTCTGGCTCAGGAGCAGGAGAAGGCTAGGTGCCAGCATGAGAGGGGTAAGAATTGGCTTAAGAGAGCAGGGTGGCCTTGCCAGGCTGGACCCACAGGGCGGACATGGCTCTGGTACCCCTTGGCAGAGGCAAGACAAGCACAGTTCTGACCAGCCCCAGTGTCTTGAGCCACAGGGGCCCAAAATAAATGTTTTATTTAACAACATGAGAGAAGTTTCCAGCAGACTTGGTTAAAAAAAAAAAAAAAGTCATCAACAACTTTACAGAAAGGAAGCTGGACCTGCCCCTCCCCGTCCCCCCGCCCAGCCAGTGTGGGGCACAAAGGCAAAGTGCGGGGCTAAGGGATGCGCCTGGGCTGGCTGCAGGGAGAGCTGGCCCTGGGGCCCTTCTGGCCTCTCCACCATGCCCCAAGGTTAAGCAGCAGCTTTAGAAAGCTGGGGTTGACTCCCCCCTCAAAGCTCTGGCCTGGGGGCTGGATGCTTCACGAGGAGCGGGGCCAACACCTGCGGTGTGGGTGAGGCTTGTCGCTAGGTCAGTGCAGCAGTGGTGGGGAGATGAACCCCCTTTCTCGGCATGGCGAGGGGGGGAGGCTGGGGCTGCGTGACAGGGGAAGGCGTCCCGTGAGCATCCACAGCACGGGGCGATGCGACGGGTGCTGGGGGCCGGGGTGGGCTCTGCTGCGGCAGGAGCAGGGGCTGGCAGGGCGAAGGGGGTGCAGAGGCTGGGAGCTCAGCCCTGGCCTGTAGAGAGAGGTGGCGGGGAAGTTGTGCGCTTTGGAGGGGGAGGAGCGAAGAGCCTTGAAGCACCCGCAGCCCTGGGGTGCCTTTCTCCGTGCTCGCAGGTCCCAGAGTCACACGCCGGAGGGGAGCACCCTCACCTCCGCTCCCCTAGAGCTACGCTGCTGCTGGGCTCTGGGCTGTCTGGGGCACACAGTGGTGGGGCTGGGCCAGGGCCACATAGCCCGGTGAGCAGTGGCAGCGGTAGGAGCCCTCCGTGTTCTCGCAGGTACCGTACCGGCACAGGGGCTCAGAGCCACCCACCTCCTCGCACTCGTTGATGTCTGCAAGGAAGAGAAGGACTGGGGGTGAGCTGGTGGCACAGTGAGCAGTCCCAGTCCACAGCCAACATCTCCTTGTGCCCCTGCCACCTCCCCAGCCCTCTCGCACAGGTGCCCCATGCCCCCTCCCAGCACCTCCAGGATGCCGAATGTGACCCCACCAGCCTCCCACACCCCTCAGCACATCCGCAGAGATCCCTTACTCCCCAAGGGTGTCATCCCCAGCATTTGGTATCCCCCAGCACAGGAGGGAGCCCTCCCCAGCAATGCACACCAGATAAGGACACCCCCCCATGCTCTGCAGCTGGTGGCACCCCTGGGTTAGCAGCTTCCTGCTCATAAGTTGTGCTAGCGTAAGATCTAGGAGAAAGGCTGCCTCCA